TCACCCAAAGTTTGTTTACACAAGAGGTACAGAACGTGTCGTTGCCATGGTAGTTGCCGGCAAGTTCACCAATCAGAGCACACTGGCCTCCAGCTCCAGAGGGAGGAGGGGGGCCTTAAAGAGCCCTGAGCTCTAACAGAGCGTTTCAGACAGAGGGTGAAGAGTGTACAGTATAGAATATACAGCAGAAGAAAACTAGTGTCTTTTCAGAACATTAAAGCATGTGAATCTTTTTTAGTCGACACCAAGAATGAAATGATTAACACTTAAAATGGCCATAATAGGTCCTCTTTAAGAAAGAAGTTGTGTTTCTCATATTTTATCCCTGTATTTTATTTCATGGCAGCCATTGGCCCCTTCCACCAAATAGCCTCAGGAACAAAACTCAGACAATGAAGGTCCTTTTTTTTTGTAGATCTGTAGATTATGTAAATTGTACAGTACCCATAACAGAAAGCCACAGCTTTTCTGGAGAATTTTTTTTTTTTTTCATGTGACAGAGCAATGACACAGAGTCATTGTTGTTCTTTGTTATCTACTGCTGTGCAACTCTTTAAAAGGATATAAGAAAGAAAACCTGCAGAGGTAGAGGGAGAGACTGAACGCCCAAAGGGCCAAAGAGCCAAACTCTAAACAGCTCTGAAACAGTGGAAAAAAAGAATTTTGTTTGACTGGCTCTGTTGCTCACAATTAACATGCTCTTTATTATTATTGGTCTACTAAAGCTTGTTTAAAGGTAAATAAATATTTCAAGAAATTGTCATTTCTATTCATAATATTGATACCACTGGCAGCCACTGCTGATTACAGTGTGGATGACTGCTGTGAACAAGTTGTAGCAGTTTTGAGTATAACTGGCCAATCAGCAATGGTCAGCTTGGCAAAATTTGCCCCGATAGGTGCTTGACCATCAGACAGTACAGCACCCAGGGGGGATAGGAAGTACGGTTGGAAAGCAAGAAAGCTCCTGAGCTGCTAAAAGGTTCCTGTGGTGGAGAAGGGCTAACTTTTTCTTTTTTTTTTTCTTTTTTTTTTTTTTTTACTATTTTTGAACTGGATTTATTCTCTATTCCTTTTTTTATGTCAGTGTCAAGCCTGACTGGAATCCTGCAGCATGTGTACGGTAGCTCCTGTCGTGCTCCCGCCATGCCTGCTCCAAATGACTCATTAGTCCAGCCCATTTCTCCTAGTGTCCACAGGTGATACATCCATGCTCCGATAAGTTAGCCCTCTCAGCTCTGAGACTGGGGCTCTGCTTGTCCCCCAGCTCACTGTTGGATGCTGTAGTCCTCTAGAGCGAGACTGTGACCATCTGAGCTGCTCTGTGTTATTTTAGCCTTTGAAGGTAATGGCAGGAGATCAATGTGATGAATGGCCTTTATGAGGGCAGAGTATCGATGGTTGATGGCAGCGAACTGAGGCTGTGGGAAGGGGAACATCAGCCTGAATATATTACCGCCTCCCCTTCTCCTTGATTCCTCTCCACTCCTGTATTTTTCTTTTATCCATCACTCTGTCTCTCTCTCTTTCCTCCGCCCTCTCTTCTCTAGCTCAGCTAGCTGTGACTGGTCATTAACACAAACATTAAGCACGCTGTGAATCCATAGCCCCTCCATCTCCTCGCTAGTGCCCATAAAACAGAGCAGCCATAATGACACACACAATGACCACACTTGACAATCAGGGGCAGGGTTAGAGTGTCTCCTATATTACTGGCAAAAGCAAAGCTTTTAGAGTGGAGCCAACGGGTACATTTGGTTGGCGTTAAAATGAGTGCTGTGTAAAGAGGCTCTCAATATTTGTCTGGTGTTTCATCAGCAGGAAAGTTTGTGTTCAGTGATATTGGTAATGATAAATTATAGATACGCTGATGCAGGAATGTTTACAGTAAAGCTAACTGAGAGGGAGCTGACTTTATAGAGACGTAAAAAAAAAAAAAAAACTCTCCTAGGTGATGCTGGCCAGTCTTATACACACTCCATGTTAAAGCCCTTTGCTGGTCTTTGTTTTTACCATAACTTTCATTTTATTAAGATGTAATCCACATCCTGCTGCTCCGTGGTTTCTCACCTGTCTGACACAAAGAGAGCATTATCTCTTATCACCTGAACATGTGGCAGCATGGTACAAAGGAGGAAATGCACTAGGGGACATAAAGATAATCACGCTCCTGTCTCTCCCCCACACCTTGTTCACCATGAGCAGATATGAATGATACATGCCAGCAACATGCAGTACATCTGCACTTAGGTCCGTAATGCATTGACTAAATATACACAGCGCAGGACTAACAGTGTTATTTTATACACAAATCCTTGAAGAGGAAATGGATGCAGGGACCAGGGAATTCCATTATCAGCGAGGTGACAGGTGATGATGCCTTCACTTTTCTCTCTTCTCAGGCAAGGTCAGAGAGATGTCACGGTGTGCCGGAGATAGATTTGATTTAAATGATGTAGAAGGTCTGGGAAAGAGCATAGAAATAGAAATAGGAAACCTCGGCAGAGTATTGATCTGACTGTAGGGCATGTGCTGCTTACAAAAACTGTCCTTGCTTCTTAAATGCACGTATGGCATGCATTTCAATGTTGTCATGAGGACAGTGTAAATGATGAAGATGCTAAAGAAAGTACCAATGTTAATAACGAGAGAGTAATCAAATGTTTTGGACCTGCAGAATCAGAAATGTGGTGTGTAGCCTCCAGCTCTTCAGTAGCAAAACAACAGCCAGCAAATCAATATGTGGTCGGTAAACCATCAAATTATAAACAGCACATTCTCAGACACACACACACACACACACACACACACACACACACACACACACACACACACACACACACACACACACACAAACATAAACAGCAGATGAAAACAAAGAACCGAAAAGATAAGATGACATTGTGTTGCAAAGTTTGATTTGTGCTAAGTAACTGATGCACCTGTAATAGTTTTGTTTGTCTTTGACACAATGGTGTCACTGAATAGGGGGAGGAAATAATAAATAAATAAATAAATAAATAAATAAATAAATAAAAGAAATTGTAGTTCATTATTATATGAGCCAATGAATTTCTGGACAGATTTCAGACGGGCATTATTGGAGACGCCTCGGGCCTCTCTCTGGCGTGAAGGATGGTGGTCATTTGGCTAGACGAGGGGCGGTGAGGACCCCCTCCTAGACTGGAGCAGACGGGTGCAGAGGAGCCTAGGGCTGGCTGTATTAATGAACAGGCAGTGCTGAAAGGGACAGGTTCCTGTAATGCTGATGAATGGTCATTACAGAGCAGAGACGGGAGAAGAGAGCGGGAGGGAAAGAGAGGAGTGGGGGGGGGGGCAGGGCAGAGTGGGCACAGAGGGAGCAGTGGTGAAAAAAGGCTTTAATTTGCACCTCAGATTTCTGTAAACTCGTTTATCACGTCAGCAGTGTCACTGTTCTCCACGTGTCTTCTCCCTCCCTTCCTCTCCTTGCCCCCATCTGACCCAAACCTTGTTTTTCTCCAGATGCTTCCATGTACTCCTTGGGCCAAATAATTTCATCATCGACACTGTTTTTGTTCATATTTCGAACCCCCACAGTCAGTGGCAATGTATCATGTAAAGCTCACCTCGCATCATTTTATGGACTCATTTAATAAGAATTGTGTATGTTTTCCATCTTTGGAGAGGTTGTTGGGGCTGTGTATGGAGACTTGATGTCTTCTACTCTCCATTAGGCCTGATTGAGCAGCTCGGGCGTTAAAAGGTCAGAGGAAGGAGGAAGCACCAGGAGATATATGCACACAAGAAACATGAACTGACTGGGAGCCCACTCACAACACTATGGACCTCATTAGCTTGTCCTCGCCCACAGCTGTTTGGATCATTCGAGGAAGGGAGGTGTGGGGGCAAGCTGTTGGTTCAAATAGGAGTATAAAGAATGGTGTTATTACAGACAGTGGAAGTGATCAGAGAAGAAAGAATTCTGTTTGAAACTGTGTCAAATCACCGTCTCTCCTCCACAAAATATTCATTTCAAGTCAGTGGGCCTTTTATGTGGCTGTCGCAATGCACGCAGCCCTTATGTTTTTTTTTTTTTTTTTTTTCCTGTCCGCCCTGCTGCTGTGTGTATAGCTTTACCAATTAAAACATTGTGTTAAGAATGTCAGTAGACTGTGTGTCTCTAACATTTTTAAGCTTGACCAGCTTTTGCCCAGCTGGACAGTTTTCTCATCTGAAAATTTTCATCTGAAAGCAAGCTTCTAGGCAAGCCTCTTTTTATTTCAGTGATTCCTCTTCCTGATTCTCAGTGATGCCAGCCAAATGTTAATGGCACATTTTCATCATGATTTGGCACACTGAGTTAATACCTCAAGGGGCTTCTGATGCTCATCCAACATATTTTGCGGGTCACACCTGCAAAAAAAAAAAAAAAAGCCTGCAGTGTATTTCAGTTCAGTGTGCATGCAAATGCCTTTCCATCAGACTGGCTTGTAGCTGCCATGTAGTAGTTGCCGTCTGTCTAATTGTAATTCAATAGTGCATAATCTTGAATTTGTTACACACCATATTTTGTAATGCGCCAACTCAGTGCCCAGCCACGCTCGGCATAGATGGCAAATAGCAGCACATCCCAAGTAATTACTGGGTTTGTGCTTATACAATGGTAGTACACATACTACAGCTGTTGAGCATATTTAGAGAACAAGACAGCAAAGTGGTGTTTTTGCTGTTGCTGCACTTAAGAAATAGTTTATGATTCAGAAAAGGGGACATTTGTGTGTTTTCAATGGATGAATAAGCCCCACAGCTTGATAGGCTGATTCCTTTCTGTTAATCCAGGAAGAAGGCTCACATTTGGTGCCTTAGGGAGATTACTGATGTGTGTACAAAAACTCTGTGGCTCAGCCAATATTAGCATTCTCTATCAAAAAATGAGAAACAACCACGGCCTCATCATTGATGATTACTAATCAACTGTGTGTACTCTTCTCTCCCTCTCTCTCTTTCTCTCTCTGTAGTGGGAGGAGGTGAGTGGCTATGACGAGAACCTCAACACCATCAGGACCTACCAGGTGTGTAATGTCTTCGAGTCCAGTCAAAACAACTGGCTCCTCACCACCTTCATTGATCGGCGTGGAGCACAGCGCATCTATGTGGAAATTCGATTCACCGTGCGTGACTGCAGCTCCATCCCCAACGTCCCCGGCTCCTGCAAGGAGACGTTTAATCTCTACTACTACGAAACTGACGCAGTCATAGCCACCAAAGGCTCCGCCTTCTGGATGGAGGCCCCTTACCTCAAGGTGGACACCATTGCTGCAGATGAAAGCTTCTCACAGGTGGATTTTGGCGGACGCCTGATGAAGGTCAACACAGAGGTGCGGAGCTTCGGCCCACTGTCTAAAAATGGCTTCTACCTGGCCTTTCAGGACTATGGTGCCTGCATGTCTCTGCTGTCAGTCAGGGTCTTTTATAAGAAGTGCCCAAGTGTGGTCCAGAACTTTGCAATCTTTCCAGAGACGATGACAGGGGCTGAAAGCACCTCCCTGGTCATCGCAAGAGGGATCTGCATCCCCAACTCAGAGGAAGTAGATGTTCCTATAAAGCTCTACTGCAACGGAGATGGAGAGTGGATGGTTCCTATCGGCAGCTGCACGTGTAAGGCTGGATTTGAACCTGACAACGGCAACGTATGTCGAGGTAAGTAATGAGAAGAATAGATTCATTTGTCACAAACGTCCTATCATTGCAATTTAAGCGTGTCACCTCTGATGGTTGCAAGCATCCGACTGGCTTTTCATCCTTCACTCTCTTTTGAGATGATGGACTCCTCGCAATAGAACAAATCACTTCTTTGTAAGCAGACGACAGATTTGTTCTATTTCAGGCTCACATATAACAGGGCATCAGCATACGTTGGATCACAGATTTTCTGCATCATTGGAAGGGCAGAATTGATTGTGTTTCATGCGTTTTGCTGAGCATGATGTGCTGTACTCCCTCCTTGATCACATCCACCTCCGGCGCGCTTGAAAGGCACATTAGCATTGATTCTTAATCTGTAGCGAATGCCAGCCTTCTGTGCAGCGTACTTTACAGATGGCAAGAGGTTTGATTCTGTCTCAGTGTGATGTGTGGAAGACTTAAGTTCTGAGGAATAACACGCACATAAAGATGAGGTTAATCTGGCTTTTCTGCTGTCACATTTTCTCTCTTCCTGTCCGTCCTCTAATGCACCTTTACGCCCTGCACCCTGCTATTCTACACTCGCAAACTTATACACAAAGAGGGAGAAAATTTGCTCAAGGTGTCTGATGATAATACAAGTGGCTTGGGGCTCTCAGTGTGGCGCAGTATTGGTTGGCCTACCTCAGGAGGTTAGCCGGAGAGTGTGTGGAGCCCAGATAAGATTGATTGACGCACATCTGCTCTGATCAATAAACAGATATGAGGGTGCCACATATCTACAAAGCACACTGTGTGCGACTGTGTCTACTGTATCCTTCTGGCATTGCTCTATATCCTACGCAAAACACACCCACACACTTAAATACACACCCAAACAAACACACACCCACACACCAACGCAGTCCTTGGCTGAGGTGGAATGACTTTGAAATGCAAATGACGAGGCAGAAGTTGGATGCTTTCCTCACTGAAAGTTTTCATTTCTGCTAATTTTTGTCATCTCATCACAACTGCAGTTTACATTGTTCACAGGTCATTTCATTCCTACTTTGTTTCTATCATTATTTTCTTTTGTTTCAGTGCGAGGTACATTTCATTTACATATTTTAAAAGGAACTTCGATACCTACAGAAAAAAAGTTTTCAGCGCATTGTGTCCAAACTAATGATTTGTAAATATCAATCTGTTGTTTGCCTGCTGAGAGTCTTTATTTTAACTCACTTTCCACAGGAACACGAGTGGTGTGATATTCTAAACAAGCTCAGCATCATTATGTCTAATAGAAAGTTTCAAACTGTTGGAAAAAAATCAGCTGAGTATTTGACAGCATTTTGAACTAAAAGAGATTCCACAAGGACAGAAATACAAAGCACTTACAACTCAAACAACCAGCTGACTAATTTGACTACAGTTAGATTTCCATTTCCCTGGTTGGTTTCACCAGCTTGTCTTGAATAAATCTGTGACTTTGTTCCTTGCTTTTGCTGCCATTTATACATCAGATAATCATATGTGTTTTTTGCACAACTTACTGATTTAAGCGCAGTATCTTATGGTAGGTACAGTTTGTTTCAGTTCAAAATGATTAGAACTTGGATGATTTTCTATGTTTTCTCATTATTAGAAGGAACTCTAATGCAATAAAACCACTCTCATTTATTACCATGAAGATTTTCCATTTAGATCGCTCCTTTATCCTTTGTTTTCTTTGTAATACCTTTTATGTCATTTCTTCAAATTTGGTAAAAATGTTCACTTGAACTGAAGGATGAACAGATTCGTTTTTGGCAGTCAAAGGGTCAGGGTCACTGTGACCTCACAAAACACGTCAAACACGGCTATAACTCAAGAATTCATACGCTAATTATGACACAAATGTCCAATAAGATAAAATGATGAAGTGAAGTGACATTTTATATCCAAATAGTCAAAGGTCGACCTTCCCTGTGACATCATAATGTTTACACAGTAAATTACACTTTGTGGCTGTATCTTACTTAAGATATGTTAGATATGTCTTTTGAAGTTTTGAAATTCACACAGGAATGAACCATAAATGAACCTTGCCTGTCCTCAAATGCGGACAGACCCGCAGCCTTTAATCGATGAATAACGTCACTGTCCTGTAAACCTGATGCCGATTCATGTCTTCTTTTTGTCCTCAACCTTATACACACACTCACAGCACGGTAATTGGAGCCAAGGTATCCCTGAGTGTTGGTAGGAGGCTTGTTGAGACTTGTGTTAGTGGGGGGCATTGGCGCTGCTGTAAACACCACAAGTACACGTGGGCACATACACATACACAGTCCCCCGGTAGATACTGCTCTACAAAGACTCTTTGAACAGAGGAGGAGACGTATATTTCTGCTAATTCCCACAATCCCCCTGACTTCCTTCACTAAGTACCCTCAGCAAGTAGGCTTCCTGCTGTGTTAAGTTTGACATCTCTTTCTCTGGTGGAATTGTAGCATTATGGGAAGTATGAAAAGCAGCCTGTAGAGGGAGGGAGTTGTTAGCGTGTACGTGCGGTAGAAAGTCGTAGAAACCTGTAAAATGTTGTGTCGGTTGACCTTAAGCCTCAGGACAAACGCACACACACTCGTGTACAAGACTGCATGCATGGAGAGTTAGAGAGACAGAGACAAGAGAGAAACAGATTTCTAGCTCTCATAACTAGCTTACTCTCTGGAGACTCGTATGGAATCTGTTCCCCTCTCATCTCCACAGAGAGGCCCCTCCAATTAGAGCAATCTCAACCTTTTATTTTCCACGCAGTCCCTTTTCATGGGCTTGTAATCCATTATTTAAACAGGGAAATCTAACCTTAAAGTGCTTGTGGAAGCTAAGTACTATGGGCAACCAATCAATTGGAGGTTGGTGCAATAACATGGCCTCAGCATTGGGTCTGAAGTAATTGCCCATTAGAGATGAAGTAACAGGAACAGGAACAAAAAGAATATGAGAGCATGCAGTTTCATGCTGAAATAATTCCCCTCATCGGGAGCAACATGAGAAGGGAAGGTATTACATAGGAGAAGGAACGCACTGTGGTGCTTGAAAGCACAGTGGGAAATCAAAAAATGAGAAGCTGTCGCTTCTGTTTTGAGCTATGCTCAGCCATCTGAGATTGTCTTACAAAATAGTCAGAATTTTATGGAAAATATAGAATAGGAGCAATTGTTTGACTATTGAACAGTCGTCTTGTTACCTAAGATGTGAAAATTGTCCAGTCGCTGCATTTATTCATTGTCGGTGAGAACATAAACATTTTACATTAACATCTACTTAACGGGCTTGACAGCTAATAAAAAGCAGAAATGCATTAATTCTGCCTGCTCCTGTTTGTGACAGTGTCAGTTCTTTCACTTGACATAACGAAACATGCATTTGCTGGGTCAGTCACACATCTGTGCTAATCAAATCTGTAGTTTTGAATATGTTTATCGTTGCGTAGTGAAAAGCAGACGCTGTGAGAGGTGACATGGGTGACAAATTAATCATTTTTGACTTGTTTAATTTGTGTGTCATTTAATATGACAGCAAAGATAAGCTTAATTGCAACTGAGTGTGTGTGTGTGTTAATGTGTTCAAACGTCTTTATTTGTTGTGTGTGTGTTTTTGTGTGTGTTTTTGTGTGTGTGTGTGTGTGTGTGTGTGTGTGTGTGTGCTTGAGCCCCCCACCCACTGTACCTAATTGTACTTTCTCTAATCTATATGTTTTAATTAGTGACATGTAGCATGGTGTGTGTGCGCGCGCGCACGCGCGTGTGTGTGGCCTGCTGTCACTTGGGCAGAGAGACCATGTAGAGTTGTTGTGCTCTGTAGCGATGGTGCCAGCAATTGCCATCCTCGATTACCGCAAGCTCCCAGCTCCCACACAAGCCATTTGGGTTCCCCCACGCATCCCCATCTTCCCCCCCCCCCCCCCCCCTCTTTCTCTCCTTCTCCCTCTCTCTCCCCCTTGGCTATGTAAGCAATCTGCTAAATATTTTATCACCTCCCTGTTAAATCGAGCGGAGACACTCCAAATAGCACCCCACTACCTCCACCAGCGCAAGGCTTGTCTTGTGTGTGTGTCCTGCTCAGCTCAAGTGTCTAAGAAAGACTGATTTGACGGTTTTACTGAACCCTCTCATGGCTGCTGTAGTGGTCTCCAGCTGAGTGATTGATAGAATCACCTTGATTAGGTTTCCTTCACATCCATCTCTTTGTTTCTAAATAATCTGATATAACCATTGATCATTTTAATGTTTCTTGTATTCCCATATATAAAGTGATTAAAACTCTGTGGTAAGCTAATTATTCTGATGTGTAAACTCTTAAAAGTGAATGATGTGCCCTAAACTGCTTCAGAGTAAACAGGGCTAAATAACATACTATGAAGAGTGACTCAAAACTTTGGACTTCCTGTTCATCATTTTGCTGTTAACACTGTTTCCTTTGAGGAACAAAGTTGTCTTTGAGCTGATAAATGCCTGCCTGAAGTCGATAAAGCTAGCAGTCTCATTTTATGAGACCCTCTATTACATTTTGTCTTCTTTTGTAATAGCTTAACCATGCCCAAAGCTTATTGCTTCTCTCTTCTTTTTTTTTTTTTTT